CTAGAAAGGAAGAAAATTAACACAATTAGATACTTAGCAGCAACAACTGCACTAAATACAAGCAATTCCCTCTAGGCTACATCACTCAGAATTATTAATGTCTTTAAATTAAAAAAGACTGTTCAGACATTGTAAGCACTTACAAGAAAAAAGAAACTTTTAGGTAAAAATTGTTAGTTATTTAGCACTTCCACAAAATGGAATAAATGATCAGCATATGAACTCATAAAAAATAGCCAGACTGCTTCTCAAAGCCAATTTACATTGAATGAAGCGACCAAATGCTGTAGTAGCTTTTGTCATAAAAAGGACATGGAATAAGAATAGAGATCCTTAAAATCAATTGCTTCTGAAGGAACCATAACAGCAAAGGCAGCTAGAAAACAATGGAGTTCAGGCGCTCCAGCTGGGATACTGAACTACTTCATTTCAACAGCGTATTTAATCAAGTATGAATACTGCACATTTGATAATGTAATTGACCAATCTACCGTAACTCCTCCCTTTACCAAAAATAACAGTTCCACAAGAAAGGTTATCTGACTGCCAAGAGACAAAGGGTCTTTTTTTTTTAATTCTTTTCCTCACACAAACAGTTCCATCACCTTTTGACAAAGCCTGCCAGAACACTGACTTGACTTGCTAACTCCGAGCAGAGCCCTTTAAAACAGTTCTGTTTGGTTTGTCCATTTAGCAAGTGAAGCCAACTAAGCACAGTCATAGCAACTACAGAAGGTAAGGGTTGTGATGCCAGGGCAAGGGATATCTCCCGTTTAGATACAAGCAAATCATTTCCTCATATGAAGCCATACTGCAATTTCTCAAACTTGGTACCTTAGTACTAAGTATCTTAGTACCTTAGATGGTGGTTTATTTCTGACTAAAAGTTTTAGCAATTGCTTCCATATGCACTATCAAGGCTTTCATTCTCTTGCTGCCCAGCCAGCCAGGCTGGGGGCACGCAGTCAGGGCAGCAGACCCAAACTGTCCAAAAGGCTACGTTGTACTGGATGACATTGTGCTCAGCAGTAAAAGCTGAGGAAAGGAAGACAAAGAGGAGATATTCACAATTACAGTGCATGCCTTCACCAGCAACCATCATTTGTGATCAGTCATTGCCTTCCTGGAAATGGCTACATATCTGTCTAGTCACAAGAAGTCACAAATGAATTATCTGTTTAGCTCCATATGCTTGTGCACTTTCTGCTCTACTTGTTAAACTTTATCCCACGAGTTTTCACACTTTTACCTTTCCCACCATCTTCCTCATTGCACCATCGAGAGTGAGCAAGTAGCTCTGCCAGCCTCAGCTGTCTGCAGCTGGTACAGCTGCTGTAATTCTAGTTGCAGCCTCAGTCTGGAAATCTAACCTGTTAAAATCTCCAGTGTTACATCCATACCATCAAAAAGGGCACTGTAATATATACACTGAGTTTGTCTGATATTTAAGAAGAATGAAGCATTAAAGAACGGTACAACAAAAACCCTGATCCTCTGTAGCATGAGGTGTCCAAACTTTTGGCTTGCTTGGAACACACTGTGTGAAAAGGAATTGTCTTGGGCTACATACAAAAAATTACTGTAAAGTTAAAGCATATGTAACAATTTTTACTTAAAAAAAAAAAAAGAAAGAAAGAAAAAGAGCAACAAAGACATAAAAGCTAGTAAGATATTTGACCTTGTTTCTGGGAAACTAATACACTAGTCTGGCTCAGTGGTGTTGTGATTCAACCTGGCAGATGGCTAAGTACCACACAGTTGTTCATTTCCCAATGGAATAGAGAATAAAAAAAAAAAAAAAAAAAAAAATCAACAAAAAACAACAAAGTAGAACTTGTGGGTTGAGATAAAACTATTTACTAAGATAGAGAAAAGGAAAATAGTTATGATTTTATATATACACACACACACAGATAAATGTCACAGAACTAATGTCCGACAAGCAATTACTCACCACCTCCCAACTCATGCCCAGATAGTACCCCCAAGCAGCAGGTGTACTCCCACCCTCTTTCAAAACTCCTTCCCCTTGATGACATATGGCACAGAATGCCCTTTGGCCAGTTCAAGTCAGCTGTCCTAATTCTATTCCCTGGTGAGAATGGCCTGAGCATTTACTAAGGTGCTTAGCAGGCAGCCATCAACACCTGTGTGTTACCAATATGGTTTTTCTCCTAGAATCAAAAGACAGCTTCATACCAGGCATTCTGAAGAAGGCAACTCCATCCCAACTGAAATTAGGACAGATGGAGGTAGCTGCAATGCTCAGTGAGCTCTCAAGGTGCTCATCAGAGACTTTTGATGAAATTTTACTCTTCCCATGCTTCACCCTTGAAAATAATTGTTTGCAAATAAAGGTACCACCACAAGCAGTAATATAAATAAGGCATGATTGTGAAGCGATGGATATCTTTGGTAAGAGAGGGCTTGTAAAAGTGTGGCAGAGAGACACAATCACATTTTTACTTGAGTTGAAAGTCTGATTGTAATTCTATGCAATCCATTCGAAAATTCTCTGGTAATGTGTTTACGTCAACTGAAAGCTGAGTAATAAATACACAAGTAAATTAGTGATGGCATGTGGTGGGCTTGTGAGATGCTAGCATTCCACTGCTCTCCCCTCCAGATTGTTCCACTGCCACCTATGCAATCTGTGCTCAAGTTATGTGCACATGAGCATCACTATAAATCGCACAGTAATGTTAAAAAATTTATCATCTTTTGAGACTCCATTACTATCCATCCATGGCTGCATGTGGCCCATGGGTTGCACGTGCCTACTCTATAGACACCACTGCTTAGCTCAGTATCAACATTTTCAAAGTTGTGCCAGTAAAGTCCTTTGAATCGTAATTCTATACCCTTTTGAAGGTGATTTGCAACCTTTTCGATAAACGAAAATTCAATGAAATCAAAATTAGAAAAATATGAAGTTGTGTCTATCTCCAACCTTAGATCTGGAATGATCTGAAAATGTATTGCCGCCATGTTCATACAGGTGTTTCCCATTAACACTTTAAATTACTAATACATTAACTCCACTTAAACTTCATTACTGTGAAGCAGAAGTAATTTTCTTCGATTACTATACTAGAAATTTAAGTCACGTCCACTCATTACCTGTTTACTGAAATTGAAGGATTCAAAAACAACCCAGGAACACAAATGAGTGTGAAGTTGACAGGGACGTTTCTACTTTCTCAGGCCAGAAGATACCACTAAACTACCGATATGACAGTTATTTATTACATCAACAGGCAGTCCTTGACATGGCCAAAGTGAATTACAGAATTCTGTTTAAAGGAAACATCAGAGGGTCATGTAGTACAACCTCCTGCTCAAACAGTACTTCTAATAAAATACAACAAAAATATCCAAGACAGAAAAACAAGAAACAGAAAGTTTAGGCGTCACAGGAAAAAAAAAATCACATTCACAAACAGGGTACGCTTGTTTTACGCTGAGAGAAAAGGTTCTGTGCATAATAATGAGTGAGCAGAAGTATAAAATAGGTAGTGTTAATTAAGTACATCCCAAATGCACCTCCCAAGCCTACAGGAACAAGAGACAGCTTACCGAAATACCCTCGGCTGGGCATTTTCAGCCAGCCCCCTTTCACCACTGGACTTGCTGCCCTTTCAATCGATTAATTCAATTCCTTTCTTCCCCCTCTATTTACTTTTTTCCTAAAGAGGCACCGCACCGTCAACAAATTCCTACAGACCCAAAACTACCACAAACGGCTTCCGCCAGGCCTATTAACAGCTCATCCGAATACGGTAACCAAAGCACCCTCCTCACTTCCCGGCTGGTAGGTGCCAGTACCGTTTCCGATACTCCACCAGGCTCAGAAAGCTTTCTATCTTCGCAAAGCGCCCTTTACCACCACTGCACTGATTTCCACCGACCCCGACAGAGCGGTGCGCGTCTGTCCGCGAAGCGGCGCTGCCGCGGCGGCTGCCGAGGGCAGAGCTCGGCGGGCGCCCTGCATCACGGCGCGGTCACACGGAGCCAGGGGCTCCGAAAGCGGCCAGCGGTTACCCGTAGTATCGGAAGGCGTTGGTGATTCTCCGGAAATGCTCCCTCTCCATCCGTTCCTCCTCCGCCTCCTCCTCCACCCTGGCCGCCGCCGCCACCGGCGCCCTCGACTCCTGCGGCTGCCGCCTCCGCCGCTCGCCGCTCCGCCAGGCCTCCCGCTCCCCCTCCGGATCGCCGCCCCCGCCGCTTTCCGCCGGCCATGGGAGCCGCTCCCGGTCCCGCTCCTCCTCGCGGCCCCGCCGCAGCCCCCTGCGCATAGCCTTGGCCGGCGGATCTCTGTCCCCGCGGGGCGGTGGCGGCAGCGCCGGCTGCGCCTCAAGGGACACCGCGCACGCGGCCGACATCCCCCTGCCGGCAGCCGCCGCCGACGGTCGCGCACGCTCAGTCGGCCGCTTCCGGGGAGGGCGGGCGCAGCCGCGAGCAGGCCTCGCCGAAGAGGCGTACCGACGGGCGGGAGAGGAGAGGGGCGGGGCGGGGCGGGGCGGGCGCAGGCGCACACACGCGGTGTGTGTCGCGGCACCTTGCTTCCATCCTCGGAGCTGGGTGGCAGCGCTGCCGGGTGCGCGCACTCTCCTGTCGCGTCCGCACGGGGGCGTGAGGCTTCGGCTGTCGGCGGAGGCCGGCGTCCTTCCGAGCCGTTCGCGCGGCGCTTTCGCAGGATGCGGCTCTCAGAGCGCTGATCGCCCTTCAGGAGCGCACGGCTCCGTACGGGCGGCGGCTTCTCCTGCCGCACCGAGGGGCTCCTTCAGGCCTCTCCTACTGCTGCACCGCGGGCTCCTCGTGTCTGCGTGTGGAGATTTGCCCTGCGTGTTTCCCACGGGCTGCAGAGAAGGGCCTGCTCCACGGTGGGCCTCCCTCGGGCTGCAGGGAAGTGCTGCTCTGTGCCTGGAGCACCTCCAGCCCTCCCTGACCTTGGGGGCACAGTTTAAAGTCAGATAACTCATCAGTGCATTACAGCAAAAGCAATGTGAAGCATTTTTATTGCAAATAGTATCTGGAAGTTCTTTATTTTAGACACAAATTTACATCGCTCACGTTAAGGCCTCACTTATTCAGGCTTTTAAGGTGCTTTAATACTACTAATAGTTAAGTAATACCTTTCAATCACCACGATCAATTTAGCCAAATTGTAGTAAGTAACACAGTCCGTCTTTTGCTTTTCATGTCTGCAGATAGATTGTGATTTCGGCTGATAAAATTGCAAGAGATCATACAGGAAAAGTAAGGGCTTATTCATCCTGCAATCGAAGATAATTAAATCTCCTAGTTTCCCAGTTCATCTAAGTATATATACACATTCTGTAATAGAGTTTTAACGTACATTTACATTATCCGCTCTCTGGATAATTTCATAAGTAAAATTTCATCCTGAGTTCTGCAGATTAACAAGGAATATTTCTTACTTCCTCTTCCCTGAAGCATGCTTTTATGGTCTTGCACTTCACCATGTTCTAATCCTTGCTCTTAATATTGTTGGTGATGCATCTGCATTCTGGCATCTTATTCCTCCACATTTTCCCAACAATCTTTCTTTTTAAAATACCCATTCTGAACTGGTCCAAACATGCAGATTACTTGAGAAATACTACATAGTATTCTGAACTTCTACAGAAGTTCAGTTACAATATATCCCGTAACAGACTCAGTTACTGTATAAGCTGTTAAACTGCTCATTGAATCTTAAAATTACTATTGTCATAGTTTATAGCTAGTTTCTCTAACCATGTTCACCAGTGATTACCTCAAACATACTTAATAGCTTTTTATCATTGTAATTCCCAAGTACTTTATGAACATTTCAAACTGCATTGGTCAGTTGTCAAATACGCTTATTGATCCAGCAGAACTGCATCTTCACAGTTTAGTATAATGTACAAAAAATATATACTTTAGAATATACACATTCAATCACATATAAAGGTCAGTCAGAGCACAACTGATGGAAGGAATTATAAAGAACAATGCATTGTTGGCACTCAACATCTGAGAGTTACAGAGCTAACACTTTAGCTACTAATCCACTTGTGATTGTATGAACTATGGACATAAACATAGGCATCTGCCCAGTTGGTTGTCTTGCCAAGTTCCACAGTCCTGGAGTTTTCAATTTGTATCAGACCAAACTGAGGTACTCTGCTTTATCATGCTGTGACCTGCTGATCTGAAATAAAAAGTACACACCTTTAACTTGTGTCATTTCTTTGTTTGCATGTGACATCACCATATATCTGAGACTACTATCACCAAGACACATCTTTAATTTATGTTTTGTCTCATTTTACTTCTCTTTTTTAAGATTTATTAGTAGATAGCAGTGAATTCACCTATTATTCAACAAAATCCAATTTCAGTGAACTTAAAGATATACTTTATCATGACAGAGTAAAAATGTATAAGGTACGTATGTGTAAGGCAAATACATATAAGGCCTATAATATGCTTATACAGGGAGACAACAGATCTATCTAATCCTTGCAGCATTTACATACAGAGTAGTGAGCTTGTAGTTATCTTGGAATTCTGTAAGCAAATTCAATTTCCAATAATATCACTTACTTCCTTCTCTCAGCCTTTTTATTTCCTGTATTATGTCATTATACACAGAGGATAAAAGCTCCTCTTGGGATTTAGTTCCATCTAAATAAACTGAGAAAAAAAGAAAAAAAAAAAAAAAACATTAGTTCTGTGCCAGCTATATGTTATCTGTAGTTATAATTAGCAAAATTATCAGTATTCTTATGAGTGTACTGAGAGGAAAAAATAGAAAGCAAGAACAATGCAAGCCTCTGCTCCTTTCCCAAACTCAGTTTGAATGTTAGAAAGCAATAGTGTACAAGTATTCAGTTAATAATTAGTTTGCAAATATTTATAGTAAAAAATTCTGCAAAAGAATTATAACATTAGGACAGTAGAGCTGGAATAATTCAACAGAAAGGTTCCTATGCAGGAGGAAGTTACAGGTTCTTCCTCAGCTTTAGGATTTGAGCAAACTAAGGAAGGACACTGCAGTTCTCATTCTCTCTGCTCAGTAAGCAGCAGTGCCCTGCATGCTGCTGACACAGCTGCCTGACCTCTTTTCTCTGACACTCAGTCCAGAATTAGGCAGTCCCAAGAGCTGTGCGAGTGCAAACATCACACAAACGCACAGCACCACACATTTGACACTATTTTGACAAGACTAGTTACTGCATGTAGTATGTACCAAAAAGTATTTGTGAAATGTCCCATAGCTTTTATAAGGACCTCATACAGGATTTTCGTGCATCAGATTCTGTCTCAGAAGTTTCCTGGTTAGTCACAGACACGTACGCACACATGCACATGCGAACTATCTTGTTAATGGATGTAGTGATAAAAAAAAGTTTACATTTCTTAAATCATAATCATTTAGAAAAATAACAAGATACGACCTTGAAGCCTTAAAAAAAACCACCCAAACAAACAAACAAAAAAACAACAGAAAGGTCAAAACCAGTTGACCTGTTGTGCAAATGTCACAATAATATTTGAAGAAAGTTTTGTCCCTTACAAAAAAATACCACTAGCAACCAAACAAAATCCTGAAATGTGACACATTTAATCATTTTATATTTTTAAAATTAAAGATATCATACCAATGTTACTTGCACTTTCTTCCATTTCATTTTTATATTTCAGGTACATAGGCCACACATGTCCATCGAAGTACCCGGGTGTATCTGCTGGCTGATAGACTCTGGTGCTACACAGAAACACATGTGCTTTCCTATGCAAGTTTTACATTTAAAAAATACAGAAGCAAGAATCTTGCATATCTACTGGAATAAAGGAAGCTACTCCGTTATAATATAATCTGTGGTATGATTCTTGCTAATCTATTTCTGACAACCAAATTAAATTAAAGACAAGGTAAAAGGAGTTTAACTGAAAAATATATCACATATAAATTAACCTGTATTGAAAGTTTTGCCCAAAGAAATTACGTTTTGCTTCTTTTTATTGGCATGGATTTCTCAAGTTTTAATTCACTAGAAATTCAGATACTAAACTCCTGAAGGGCACGTCTAGTCAAGAACCAAAAAAGTGCAGTCAACTAAAGACAATTGAGAGGAGAACTGCTTCACTCAGATGCCAGATTTTGATTCTGTGCAAACGTCTTGCTTCAAGCACACAATAGTGTTTCAAATCTGGAGCCAAGTCAATCACTGGCTTAACATCCCAAATCAAACTTGCAATGTAACTAAAATACAGTCTAAATGAAGCATGTTTCATTTAGAAAAACAAAAAAACAAAAACAAAAACAAAAAAAGCAAAAAAAACAACCCAGCAACACCATGCATAAAGATTGGTATTTTAACATTAATCATCATGTATAGCTGCATGTTTTTTTTCTCCTTTTACATTAGTTTAACTCTAGCATTTAGTTGGTAATCTAAGTAGTTTTTCTGGACAACAAATTGTGTTTCACTGCTTGTAAAACACTTAACATTTTAATATATATATATATATATATATATAAAACAGAACAAAACAAAAAATAACAACCACTTCTCTGCATGTTCTTGTTAATGTCTGCTAAATACCCACAGAGTGTTGCCTAGGAATAACAGATAATAGATGCTCTTAGCAGCTTATATCTGTCAAGTGCTAAAGAAAAGCTGGTACCAAAAAAAATCATAGTTCAGGTTAGGGGATATAGTCACCATCTGTGAACAACAACCAAATAATCTTACCTCCTTCTCCTTTTACACTCTTCATAAGGAAGGGTCAAAAAATATCTTCTATTCCAGAGTTCATTAAGTGGCCTAAGACAGTAATATAGAATCATAGAATCACCAAGGTTGGAAAAGACCTCTAAGATCATCCAGTCCAACCATCCACGTGTCACTAATATCTGCCACTAAACTATGTCCCTCAGTACTGTATTTAAACGTTTCTTAAACACCTCCACAGACAGCGAGTCCACCACCTCCCTGGGCAGCCCATTCCCTTTCTCTCAGAGAAGCTCTTCCTAACATTCAACCTGAATCTCCCCTGGCACAACTTGAGGCCATTTCCTCTCATCCTATCACTGTAGTTACATGGGAGAAGAGGCTGATCCCCACCTCAACACACCTCCTTTCACGTAGTTATAGAGAGCCATAAGAACTTCCCTGAGCCTCCTCTCTCCAGACTAAAGAATCCCAGCTCCCCCAGCCATTCCTCATAAGGCCTGTGCTCCAGACCCTTCACCAGTTTCTTTGCCCTTCTCTGAAAACACTCCAGAGCCCCAACATTTTTCTCGTAGCGAGGGGCCCAAAACTCAACACTGTACATGAGGTACAACCTCACCAGAGCTGAGTACAGAGGGATGATCACCTCCCTGCTTCTGCTGGTAAAACTATTTCTGATACAAGCCAGGATGCTTATGTTTAGTACCCTGTTTTTAGGGCAGCTTTTAATATACCGATTTATGCATTACTACTTACTCATAATTATACAGCAGAAAGCCTTCAACAATCAAAATATAAACATCTTCTGTCATCTTTAGTCTGTTACATGTGTCCATCGGTTTTTCAGTCACAATGCCTGAGCTTGCATGGCTTTTCATCCAGTTGTGAATACTTTTCACCATTTCATCCATATAGAGGGCATCAAGTACTAGATGAATCAGTAAGAAAGGAATAATCTACATATAAGCCTAAATGAAAGGGAATGCTATTAGCCCTACAAGTCTCTTAGGTGTAAGTAGTTTCATGTTTGTAGCTGATGATACCTTGAAACAAATCCTTTCCCCATGTTTGGGATACATTTGGTGGGTGTGGACTTTCAGAACCCTGTGACAACAAAAGATGAGTGAATTCACAGCCCTTTTCCCTTTGGAAGAAAATGTACAAACTGCTATCCTATTCCATAGGACCCATAAATACTTAGCCCAGACTTCTACCCTTGTGTCAACTATCACTTAAACAAAGCAAGGAATGGGGTTCAAAAATCCTTTGCTTTTTTTGTTAAGTTTTAAATATTTGGATGGTGGGGAGGGAGGGCTCAGACTGGTAGGATGGCATAAGAGGTAAAATATTACAATGTAGCACATGGTTTTGTCCAGAGTGAGATGTCACATGAGTTACTGAACTGTAGCCCAAAGGCAGACTCTGGATACAAACTTTGATGTAATATAGAAGAGCAGTATTAAGACCAGAAAGATGAACTTTCTCATCTAGTTTCACATTCTACTTTCATTTAGTGTAGAAACTGAACCACAGACTGCATTAACTGATGGAAGTCAGATTTCAGCTACAATTTAAGGTTCAGGACAATGTTCAGAGTAATACATTTTGCAATCACCAAGTATCAGAAGAGAGTAACTGATAATCAACTGTTTGTACATAGTCTTGACCTGGAATAGAACACTGGCAAAAAGTAGAACTAGGTATAGAAGTTCACACAACTAAGCTGGCATGTTGAGCCAGCAGTAAGTCTGAATTTGGAACCATTCTGGTCTCTGTGTAAGACCTGACATGAGATAAAGGTGTCTGGACAAGATCCAATCTTATCTGATTTGGAACATAATAAGGAAAGAGACACGATCATTAAGATACCCAATCAGTTAGTTATTAATGTGAAAAAAAATAAATAAATCCATCAATACATAGAAAGTAATGAGGTTTAGCTTATGCCAGTGCTGCAATTCAAGAGACTTTCAAATGAGCTGAACCATTTGCCACTAGACCCAATGCAACTCTAGAAGATTAAAACAAGGAAAGGGAAAGACAAGCACCAGCTTCAGAGGTTTACTAATTCAAAAAGTTTTCTATTTTTATCTCAGTGAGGTGAGAGAAAGTGAAGTAAGGATTGCTCTGCATTGTTTGTTTACAACCTTGCTAAGAATAGACACAAAACAGGGGTGTTGCTTGCTTAGAAGAGACAGGAAACCAAGCTCAACACAACACAACCAACACAACAACAAGTCAGAGTTACTGACCATCATACAGCTTAAATCCACGCTCGTCTGTTTCTACTTCAGACTCTGGCTAAAGAGAAAAAACATTGCAGTTTTCAATTGTGCTTTCATAAGCGCTTACACAGGTCTGTTTTCTTCAGTTACAAAAATGAGGGCATACACACTTGTATACTAACTGATAAATTTGTCCTCAAAATTTAAATGCTGCATAAAGCTATTCAAATATAATACAAACACTTCATTTCATTTGTAACAACAAATCCTCCAAGTCATCACTTTGAAGTTCACTAGAACTTCACTTTTAAGAAATAAAAACATGTTCAACCTCTTTCGCACAGAACTTTGATACTCATACAACAGTTTTGATTTTTCTTTCCTTTTTTGGTTTAGGAAATGAAGAGCTACATACTCCTACACAGCACTAGGGTTAACAAAGCAATAACATTAACTCTGTTAGCACACAGTATCTTCAGAAATGTATCCATCATACACTCATTCCTTACTTTGAAACTGTATAAAATACAGTCAATTTATTTTGCTGAGCATACTCAGTGATTTTGGCCACTGAAATTTCAATAACCTCAGTGCTGACAAAGTTAACATTAGAATCATAGAATCATACAATCACCAAGGTTGGAAAAGACCTAAAAGATCATCCAGTCCAACCGTTCACCTATTCCCAATAGCTCCCACTAAACCATGTCCCTCAACACAACATCCAGCCTTTCCTTGAACACCCCCAGGCTCGGTGACTCCACCACCTCCCTGGGCAGCCATTCCAGTGCCTGACCACCCTTTCTGAAAAGTAATACTTCCTCATGTCCAGCCTGAATCTCCCCTGCCGTAGCTTGAAAGCAGTATCAATTTTAACAGTCCAATAACAGAGAACTTTAAACGAGTAGAAATTATACTAACATTTACTCAAGAGCACTTCTATATATCAGGTCTGTCCATCAATACCATTACCTTAAAGAAGTCATCCTGAGAGATTGTATCACAATTTGGAAGCAGTTTCTTAAGCTTTTCTGCCAATGTTGTTTTTCCTCCATTTGTAACTCTGAGTTAGAAAACACAGATACTGCATCAGACAAGATCTCACTTTTAGACATAAACAGACCTATGGTCATGCACCTCTACATAAGTAGTGTAAATCACAGAGATGCCATTAGCTCCTCTCTCTCCCCACCTCCAAGAGGTTTATTAACAGTAAATACGCTCTTGAAATTTTCTGGCAAGTTCTAACAGCTTTTAGTGACAAGAAATAAACTAGAAGTGGTACCTGAGATCTCCAATAGAGGCAGGAATAATTTCTTAGGCGTTACACATTATTTGTAAACTATTTTCAAAAATGATCTATGCAGAAGTACAAGTTACACCACAGTTCACTCTGAAAGGAAGACCAGTCTTGAGCTGCAGAGGAAATTTAATTTTCTAATACTTACCCTCCAAGGCCAATCACCAGTATTTTCATTGCTTGTTTTCCCTTCAGTTCTTCCTTTCCACTGTCAGAAACAGAGTCAGTGAAAACTCTCAATTCAGCAAAATCAACAGTCATTAATAACATAATAGTCAATAAGAAATTCCGGTTACAGATAAGACTTGTTTTCTGTCTTTTTTTTTTTTTTTTTTTTTCCTCCACAAACTTACTGTCAGAACCTCAGCTGCTTGTTGAAATGCTAACAAAACCCTCCAATACAAATGCTGTGTCACAGATTTCTATGTATTTTACCTTAGACAGTATTTAATGATTTGAGGAGAACTCTGAGAGATTCAGTATTACCGCTACTGATTAGCACAGCAGTACCTGGAAAAAAATACAATCCTAGCTCAATCATTAACAGTATCCAAATGTAAACACGTGCTGAGGTAGAAAGACAAACAAACAACAAAAAAGCTATTAAAAAAAACCACACCACCAACAACAGAAGACAGTGATGTGCTGAGGGAAGAAAGATGTTTAAAAAGTAACTCCTGAATTCCACAGTTCACTGTGTGTTCATGGCACTGGCTGTCAGTGTGAAGAATGAAAACAGATTACCTGTTCTCACGATATGATCATGATCTGCAAAACATCTGAAACATGATCTGCAAAAAACCCCAATGCTATTTTCAAACTAAACTGCGTTCTGGGGCATTAGCCTTTGCCCCACAGAAACGCTGCGGCACAGCCCAAATAACACCTGGGCACACGTGCTGAGCTTTGGACTCAACTTACGTCACCAGCTATACCAATCTTAATCCCAATTTTCTGGAAAAAAAAAAAAACAAAAAACAAAAAACAAAACAAACAAACAAAAACCAACCAAACATCAACTCTGCCTCCCTCAGAACAACGTACAACTCAAATGGCGAAGGCAAACTGGCCTCCAGCGTTGCAGCACACAACTCGGAAGTTACTCGGCCTCTTTAAAGAGCCGAGTGAAGTTCCACTGCACTCTCCCACAGAGCTGCCTCGGGCTGAGCATTAAACGTGCAACGACAGCATCCAAACGAGCCACCCCGCCCCAAGAGCTCCCACACGGGAGGCGCTGACCCGTGGGACGCTCAGCGCAGCTCAAACCCACGGACCCAACCAAAGCCCACCCCCTTGCCGCGCTCCGGCGGCCCGGCAGTCAGTCCCGCCCTCTCCGACACCGCGCGGTCCGATTGGCTGCTCCTCAGGCCGCGCACCCCGATTGGTAGCCCTCCCCCCTCCCGTGCTCTTCCCACCAGGCAAAGGAGAGCGAAGAGAGGATTGGTTGTGCGGTATTTCGGGGTGGTGCGGTGCTCGCTGCTGCCGCTGTGGGGCGCTGCGCAGGATACCGGCGCCCGCCCACCCCCTTCCTCCCCGCAGCTGTCGCCGCGCACCGTGCCCAGTAGCGCGGAGCGGCTCGCCCCGATCATCCCCACCGCCCCGAGGCACCTGCGCAGCCCGTCAGGTCCCGCCGCAGCCATGTCCAAGCCACCGCCCAAGCCCGCCAAGCCAGGTAAGGGAGGGTCCTCAGGGCTAGGCCAGCCGCCCCCTCCCCTCCCCGTCTTCTCGCTGTCAGCACGGGCCGCCGTGGGCGCGGGTCGGCCCAGTGCCGGCTGACACGTGGACAGCGGGGGAGCTGGGCTCGGGCTGTCAGAACCGGCGGCCCCCGCCTCTCCCCGCCCCGCCGCCATTAACCTCGGCGCCGCCCGAGCGCTGCGGGTCTGTCCTCGGGCACCCCTCGCGGAACTTCGCTTCTCAGTACTCATAGCGAATCGCAGGGTTTTGTAACAAAAACAAAACAAAACACTGCTGACCGGGTTTAGGAGCACTCAGTCGGTCATCCCCCACTTTCCGATGTTCTGTTAAAGCCTCAGAACTTCTTTCATGTAACAGTTTGCTCCGGTCTTTCACCCACTGAGCATCTTTCGGAGTTGACCTGAAATAGCAAAAAGGCAGCGATAGGAGCCCCAGCACCGCGGTTGGCGCCGGGAAGGTGCGTAAAGAGCTGTGTGGGCTTCCGGGAGATGAGAAGGGTGTGGTGCTGCGTTTAGCAGCCAGATAGGCAGGAAGAAGAATTTTTTCCAGTCAGGGGGTTACTCAGTGTCCGATTTGCAAAATGATTGGTTAGGCTTAGCGTAAGAATCTTACGGAAGTCTAGGATTTACACTGTTCAGGCTTGCGGAGTTATCAGTCAGACTCATTCTGTGTTTAACGCTGGGCATCCCCAGCTTGGCGGTGCAGGCTGTGCTAAGACTCAGGCTGCTGACAGACAGACAGGCTCTCTGTGTCTTACTGTCACTTTGTCCTTCGGTTCGGTGGCACAGCAGGCTGGACTGGTGCTCTGGCACTGCAGGGTTCTGCTCATCTTCAGGTTATTTTTCATGTTCTAATGAAGTTGCCAATCTGGTTTGCCACATGATCACTTGACGCAGCAAAAGGAAATGGATGGGAATAAATGACTGAAGAAGAAAGAGGAAGAGAATGAGACTTTCTTGGTAGTTACTCTCAGGGATCACAAAAGTCATTTTACAGAGTCCCTCCATTTTGAAGAAGGAAAGTCTTTACAGATGCTATTGTTGATTTTTTTTGTTTTGTTTTGTTTTTGTTTTTCTCCCCCTAAGCCATTTTCAGGAAGAGGTTGTCTTCTGGCTTCCTCCAAAATATTTTGTCTGTCTGCCTTTGTAATATCAGTTACAATTCTAACAGTGTCATTGGATTTCATGGAGGTTATAGACATTAAAGCGTACTGACTTAAAGGCATAAACATGGAGTCTGCGTGTGCTGAAACTGGAGTAGCATAATGCTCTGTTTGTTACCAACTTCTAGGCTGCAGGTGGGGAAATGTCTTGGTTCATTTGCTCAAGCTGTGTTATTTTTTCTGTTGTCTTATATCCAGTCTGTAAACCATCCTGGCTTTGTCACAAAGCAGCAATCTACTTGCTGTGCCGCAATTCAAGCAGATAGAAGGAAAAATAAGACTTGATGGTCACAATTGAAGCAGATAGAAGAAAGAATAAGACTCTGGCTGCTGCAGTCCTTTAAGAAATGTTCAGGAAGAAAACATGCTAACTATGTGGGGATGGAAGGAGATAGAGCTGGTGGCAAGGAATTTAGTGTTATTAAGTGTATTTAGTGTTATATTCATTTCTGAAGCTGTGAGTGCGTTCCTCACAGGGCTGTTGAAGATTACAATTACACATGAATGCCCAGATGGTGCTTTGAAAATGTGCAAAACAGAATGTTCTAAGGGGAAAAATATTAAGTATAGCAATGAGTGGGGTTTTCTTCAGTAGATTTTTATTTGATAGAAGGCTCTTTCATTGTAATAATGTGGCTGCAAGGGCAGTGTGTTGGGTTTCAGTTGAGAAGGAAAAGTCTTTGACATCAAAGATTCTAGACAATCTTTGACATTCTAGATTCTAGACAATCATCTAGCAACATTTGTCAGCTCTTGAGCCTGTATTCTGGGGCCCTTGTATTGTCAGCTCTTGAGCCTGTATTCTGTGGTTAGCCCTTGGGTAACAGGCTGTGAATGTTTTTCATGGCTTGGGGAAATTTTTAATTTCTAGCATTCTGAGACTTTCCTTTAAAACAAGCTTCTCACTTTGCTTTTCTGCTGGAGCTTTTTGTACTAGTTTGAAAGCTTTTCTTTTTCGTATTCAAACTTGCTATTGGAGATACAGAGGAGTGAAATGAGAGCTGAAAATAATTGAAGCTTTCTTCTACATCAGCATTATGCAAGAGTAGGATTTCCCCTCCATCCTTCAAAAGCTCTATTGATATCTCAAACAATATTAGTCTTTTTAGAGTTCATTAACCTCCTAAACATTCTGTGTCTTATGCTAATTATCAAAGTTACTTAAGTCTTTTGAACCTGACAAGCTGCATTGACTCCTGCTAGTTGACTCCTTGAATGATGGTGGTTATGCATTTTTGGCTAGGGCCTTATACAGCGTGCAGTAAGAGCTCTTAGGAAACTGGAAATGTTATTTTTTTCTTTACCTTTATTACTTCTGTGTTCTCCAGATAAAGTAACGTTTGTTGATCTTGGGCTAAAGTCTACACAACACTTAACTTTTACAGAGAAAGACAAGTCTTTGAAGGAAATTACAGTTTTAAATGATTCCAGTTGAGAGGAAATGAGGAAGGAGGGAGCAAGTGTGTGTAACATAAAGGGACACTACCATAAAGTAGGTCTGTTGCCTTTGCAGCCTTTGCAGTTTTTCTAAGTTAAAAATAGAATTCTGAATATAAATACTTAGTTTTAACCAGAGTCAAGTTTCTTTCACATTACTGAGGTGAAGCAGAAGCTGTGGCAGTTGCTGTTGACAGGAGCGGAAGATCTATGCTGAATGGCATCCATAAGGTCTCAGCAGTCCGTCACCCTGGGTTGTTTCCTTCTGCAGTCACAGAAGGGTTTCTGTTAGCTAGGGAGAAGTGGGTGTGTGAGTGTAGGTAATTATGCTGCAGTTGTGAGTTTATATGCAGGAGACATCAACAGAACTATTAAACAGCACAAATGTGAATGCTAAATTTGTACTTCTGACCCTAACCCTAATCATTCAAATTACTGCAAGCCGCAACAAGCCTCCTACAAGTGAAGGTGTTTTTTGTATTTGCAAAAATTAAACTAGTAATAAATAGATCTCAGCATCATACTGTGCTAGTCACAATTCGTTTGTGAAATTGTTCATGTCAAATACAAAGTGAGTACACTCACAGGCATTTTCTCTGAGAATAATCCTGAATTATGATTTTCTGTCTACAAATGCTGTGGAGCAGAAAGAACAAATGTGCTGTCAGGTGCAGTCTGTGACTGTTAGAGGGCTACCCTACCTTGTCAACTGCTGGTAGTAGTCTGCTCTTTGGATTCTTTCCTGCATGTCTCTAAACACCCCCCTTCCTGCTCTCCCATCTGCGTTCCTATGTGCTCTTCCCCTTTCTAAGTACTGCTAAAAAGTGGAAGGTGGTTTTCCAAACAGTGGGACCTCCTCTTTTCTGCCTCACTTAAAACAATACTTAAATGCTATTTAAATGCAGTATCATACTCTGTTGTGCCTGTGTGCTGTGAGCAAAACTACAAATTTAAAGCAGCAGTCTTGTAAAACATACTCCCTCTCTTTAGACCTTGAAGATCTGAGTGTAAAGTACTGTATTTTTCAGTTCCTGAAAAGTCAGGAAAAAGCTTCCATCTGCCCTTAATATTCTAAGAAAATGGCATGTTTTTGAAGATATGCCTATTGTGATAAAGACATTTCTTTCCTTACTAATGCAAAATGCAAGCATATTGTGAAAGATCCTGATCTGTAGTTTATCCACAATACTACTTCATGACAAAACTTTTTGCCTTCCAAATGCTGTTGCCAGGTTATGTAGTTCTTTTGTAGGGTCTCAGACCAGTGCTGAGTGCAATTCTTGCCAATGCACTTAGCAAAAAGAAGTCTTGCTTCAGAGAAAATAAAATGCATGAATTGTGTTCTGGGAGGACACTCTGAAACTGACATCGACCCTGGAACTGGCATACAAACATCTAAATAAATAATGCTACCCAAGAGTCAGCCTTCTTTCTTTCACAGACGAAAGCAAGTAAGAAGAGAGTAGGAAATAGTTTGTAGAAGAGGGAATTTAAATGGCAGCATCTTATGATGGCCTAAAACGCCGAGGTAAAAGAACAGAAGGGATGTGGGGAGAAAAATCCATCACTGAGCAATTAAATCCATTTTGCAGAGACACTTAGCACATCTTTGAAAACGACCTTTTGTTATGCTGCAATTAATTAAACATCAAACTGATAGGAGGAAACAAAATGTTTCTGATTGTTGAGAAAACATTTTTTAAATTTTGCACTGTGAATCCTGACAGCAATCAGTACATATCAGAAGCTGCATTTTTTTTTTTTTTTTAACTGTTTTTACTGTTTAGTCACTCCATTTCTTTATTTTCGTGGATTTAATTTGCTATTCATTGTGCTGACAAATCAGCTTTACCCAAGGGAGGGCTCTATGATAAATCTGAGTTGCATGTTTCCTTTCCTAATTATTTTATAGGAGAAGTTGTCCTACAGAATTCAGATGGGTTTTAGGACAAGTCACCTCACTGCATTGCTGAGTGAGAGTTTGGTAAA